GGCTGGATTCGAACCCACTACCTCAGGTGTATGTGGCTGGTGCCTTAGCCACTTGAGCCACAGGCACTGAGCCTGACAGCTGTCTTTCCACCATACAGATACTCCTCTTTCAGATAGCCAAGAGAGCAAATTGCCTTCTCTCATATTTTTCTATAGTAATTCAGAGACAGCAGTTCACCGAAAATATTTATAAAAGAAAGGTGGAAAAATGACAGTATTAAATTGCATCTCTGGAATTCTGGTCACTAAAAGTATGGAGGTTAAGATAGTGATGGAAATAGAACTCTTTAGCTAGGAATTGAAGTTTTTCGTTTGGTCCTTCGGTACAGTGAAATAGACCGTGGGGTTTGAGTATTTATTCCTTAGCCATCATAAGCAAATTGAGTTTAGACACTGGGAATTGGTTTGTGAGCAAGGTACCTTAACCTGTCCTTTAGCCATAGAAAATAGAGATTATAGAAAAAATGCAATTAATGGCAAGTCTTGGATATGGCCACAAAATAAGTGGCTGAGGTAGGCAGAGGATTAGATTATTGATTATTGTAAGAGGAAATTACAGAACTGATACTGGGAAGATTTTCTGCATAAGGCAACATCCTTAAAGAAGAATATGGAGGAAGGGTGATGAACATTTTAGGCATAAAGAATAGTATAATCAGAACAGTATAATGAGTATGAGATGCATTTGGGAACTGTTAGGAAGCTAAGTATGGCCTGAGTACAAAGTGGAAGTGCTTCACTGACTACGGTACAGAAGTAGGCAGTGGCAGTGTGGAGAGTGCTAGAGAAATTCTGGTTTCCTACCCAACATATATCCCTACTTCCTGTTAAGGGAGGTCCTCTCAGTAGTTCCAACTGCAGTCCCATGGGAGAAGTTATAACTTGTCTAAACTAGTCATTTTAATTCCATTTCTCTATGCTAATCATTAGCTATTAGAAAAAGTCTGTCTGAGAAACCAGTAGCTATTAGAGAAAGTCTGTTGGAGAATTCTGGGAAGATTTTCTTTCCTGATTGAGAGAGAGTTAGTCTCTGGGAAAAAGGCTCTTTTCCCATTCATTTCTGTCTTCCTGCTTGGTACACTAGTGTAAGGTGTCCAAAGCAATGACAGTCAACTTGTAATCATTACGAGAAGCTGGTCCACTGTAAATGGCAAGAAAGAAAGAGAGTCTGGATCCTAGAAGACATTGTTGATTTTTGAGCCAGCCCAGGAACCACCCACTTATAGGGATTATATGATATGTGATAATTTTTTTTTTTTTTTTTTTTGAGACAGAGTCTCAAGCTGTTGCCCTGGGTAGAGTGCCGTGGCGTCACAGCAACCTCAAACTCTTGGGCTTAAGGGGTTCTCTTGCCTCAGCCTCCCAAGTAGCTGGGACTACAGGTGCCTGGCTATTTTTTATTGTAGTTGTCATTGTTTGGCGGGCCTGGGCTGGATTCAAACCCACCAGCTCTGGTGTATGTGGCTGGTGCCCTAACTGCTGAGCTACAGGTGCTGAGCCTGTTTTTCTTACTTTACTATGTAGTCCCTGTTACGAGGTATTCTGTTATTTAAAGCTGATTGGATTTTAACAGGCAAAGAGGCTGGTAAATCACGGAGAATTTAGTAAATAATTTGTTCTGCTTTTCCATTTGTGGCAGACTGCCAAATGTCTACCTTAAAAAGAAGGCAAATTAATATATAGTTTTCAATTAATTGAACTACTGTTCGATCAAAGATTAATTTAAAAGGTACAGCTTAATCAGGTTTTTAAGTATTTACACTTAATTTCCCCAGTATAATCCTACAGAAAGAAAAGTCATTCACTATTAGCTGTATTTAGCTAAGTTAAAAATAGGAATTATCTCCTAAATTATATAAAAAATTTTTATACGAAGAATCCTTGAAAAACACTATAAATAAGGGACATTTCAATAAGTATTTGGAACAGATTATCAGTCAAGAGTAAGCCAGGTAGCTGAAGGATTTTTCACCAGCCAAAAAATAAGGATGAATTCCTATGTAGAATGACACATATGGTCATATGAGCAGAATATATAAAAACAGCAGACTTGCACTGAGCATTCACTGTGTAACAAACACTGTGCTAAGAGCCTTAGATTTCTGAAGTCATTTAGTCCTATCAGGTAGGTAACTATTATTTGTCTCCATTTTCATGGACTGGAAGATGGAGGCACAGGAAAAAGTACATTTTCTATTGCCATATAACTTCAGTGGAAAAGCCAGGAATGTGAACTCTGGCATTCTGGGCACACAGCCTGCCTGTACACATTCCTATGCTACTTACTATTCTGCCTTAAGGGAGCTGGGCCCACATAACCCTCCTGAGTATTCCTACTTAAGGGAGCAGAGAAGCTTTTCTTGCTTTCATAGGTAGGTGTTTTCTAGTGGGAAAGTTTCCCATCTCTTTTATTTAATCTAGAACCACAGTAGGCAGAAACAATGGTATGCAGATGTGTGTCCTCTTTTTTTTTTTTTCAGGAATACAAAGTTGGTTGCTCTCCAGTGGGAATCTACGTCCCTCTTGGGAAACTCCAGGCTTAGCCCCTTTCCCACATTGGAGTTACCTGTAATAAGTCCGAGACAGGGGCTTGCAGGCTATCCAGAGTGACTTTTGATTGCCTGAAAGAAACTGTAAAAAGTAGTACTTTTTCTGGGTCCTTATATTTCTAGGGATTTTTTAACTCTAAGCAGCTTTCTGAATGGTCAGCCCTTTCTTGTGGCTCTGATCACATCCTATAGGACAGAAATAGTAGGTTAAAGATAAGACCAGTTGATCTCATGGTTTTTAATTTGTTGACTTTCTTGGCAATAGAATGAGTTTCTTTCTAGCAGAGCTAGAAACCTCTACCCCAGCTTCTGCCTACAGGAAAAATCTGGAGCCACTCTGAAGGGGAGGAGAATGTAGGTGGTCCCTGGGATTATAGGTATAGGTAGAGATAAAAGGATATAGCTGATAACATCTTTAGGTCAGATTTGTATGTAACTCAGATCTCTGATGAACAGTGCATATACAGTAATAATGATAAGAATATGATAATGGCTCATATGTAGTAATAATATAATACCTCTGTGGCTGGGTGCAGTGGCTCATGCCTGTAATCGCAGCACTCTGGGAGACCGAGGTGGGTGGATTGCCTGAGCTCACACATTCAAGATCAGCTTGAGCCAGAGTGAGACATCGTCTCTAGAAATAACTGGACATTGAGGCGGGCACCTGCAGTCTGAGCTAATCGGGAGCCTGAGTCAAGAGAATTGCTTGACAAAAACCCAAGAGTTTGAGGTTGCTGTGAGCTATGACACCATGGCACTGTACTAAAGGCAACAAAGTGAGACTCTGTCTCAAAAAAACCCAAAACAACCCCCCCCCCAAATAATTATACCTGTGGTGTAATGATAAATTACAGAAATTATTGTGCTCTTTTAATTCAAACAATATTTTAAAAGTCACTAAAAGTTTACATAGGAGATAAAAGACATTTCAAACAAGAATATTGAAGGTTAACATTCATGAATGTTGCATCAGTGCTAGGCTGATAGAAATGCTGTGTGGGTGGATTGGTTGAACCCATGACTTTGAGATCAGCCTGAGCAAAAAGCAAGATCCCGTCTCTACTAAAAATAGAAAATCTGAGGCAAGAGGACGCCTTGAGCCAAAGAGTTGGAGGTGTGAGCTATGATGCCAAGGCACTCTACCTGGGGCGATAGCTTGAGACTCTGTCCCAAAAAGTGATGCTCGGTGTAAGTGATGGTATAAACAGTGAGACTAGCCCTCAGTATAAGATGCCAGTGAACTGCTTATGCCATTGGTTTGCTTACAGGTGTAGGAGAAAATACGCTTTAATTATAAATTATCTTTATGAAGAGGCTTAGGAGTCTGCTTCTAAGTATGAAATGCTGTAAATTGAATCACTGGCAACCCAGGGATTGCATGTACTACTACTAGTCAGAGTTAGCATCCTTTTTCCTCAAGCCTGAGGTTTCCTGGGGGGTAGTTAAGCCGTGTTGATTGGATGTAATGGGCATCCTTTGTTTGTATTGTCTTCATTCTTTTAGCAATATATAAGATTCCCTTTCCATTTAAGAATTAACTGCTCTCCCTTGCGCTATATGGCTATATGACTCTACATGGCTCTTGTGTAGCTGTCCTATCACAATGTCCTGTCTTCTTTGACAGGGCATATGACTCACACTGGGTTGATCAGAATCCTTGCTTAGAATATAAAA